CACACACACACACACACACACACACACAGGACATACCTTTCAAAATCTTCTCATTATCTTCCTTGCTCACTTTAACATCCAGAGCGGAAAGTTCACGGGCCTGTGAAAACCAAAGATGCAACATTGTGTCTAGAACTTCTGGTCTATTTCTTTCCTTGCATTACATCATATTCCACAATGCAGTCCTTCCTAATGGAGAAAAACTAGGGCATATACCCATTTCTCTCAACCTGCATCTTGCAGACTTTCCAGCTCATGTGGTTAATAACACAGACCCAACACCTCTAAGGAGCACCACATTAGAGAAAGCTTCAGGGAGACTCCAGAAAAAGAATCCTTACCACTAGGACACCATTAGAAATCAGTTGCTCAGGAGGAAGTTGCCTAAAAAGCAGACGGAAAAAAGAAAAATAAACAAACACGTACAAGTAAGACCTCGTCTAATTGAGATCAGCATATGTGGGCCTGATTGGAGTTAATTGTTGGGGTGATATATAATTTTATGTTATTCTATTCTATTTTGCATATTTATGTATTAAATTATTGTATTTTATCCCATTCTTATTTTAATTTTTTTAATAGGATTTTATTGGTAATACATGTTTGAAACTTGTATTTTTATATAGCCTGTAGGCTACTCAATAAAGCTAAGCTAATGTAACAAGTAAGACCAACGTTGTCAGTGTTTGCTGTTTTAGAAATAAGTCTTTGTGAATGACTGACAAGGACAAGAAAGGCAATACAAACAGTTGCCGACACTCCTATTCTATAAATTGCCAGACAGTCTGATAAATCTAGATGTTTGTGCATTGTGACACAGAGTAAACTTTTTTACTCAGTACATTTTTATCAGTTTGTCCATGAACTGAATTTAAAGTGGCACCAATAAAACTTAATGAAGTGTGGAAAAACCAAATCCAAATTATAATAATAACAACTGGAGCATCACTTGAACACCATTCACATTGGCAAAGTCACCCTCAATCAATTGAAAATGGGAAGTACTGCTTGGAAAGCATATCTAATATCTCAATAACATCTGCTTATCCTAGATCTTTGGGAAGGACTTGATAGATTGATAAAAGTGCCAAATCCAACCTAAACATTTGACTGACTATGTAACCAACCATAATATTTTTTTTTCTTTTTATGACTCTGTAATCCCTTGTATTAGGGTGGAGTCAGGGTGACTGAATGGAGCTGAGCATTTACTGGTTGGATACCCTTCCTGATACCTATATAGAGTTCACAGCAAATATTTATTCTTTGTGCCCTAATAGAGAAACATTCATCACTGCCTAGAATTGAAATCTCAGCCTCCTGAGTGTGGGCCAAGAGTCTTTATCTCTAGGCCACCACACTGCTCAATCATAATAAATAATAACCCAAAAATAAAAAAATCCCAGCAGTACTTCAGTACAGCACTGAATTAAAAATTAATTTGTCAGTTAAGCACCTTTTGTATTTTTCTTTCTTGTTGTAAATTTGCCATCAGTGCTTATAGAATCAAAAGGGCAGATTATACATTTAATAAATAAAGCAAGCTCTTTCCTCTTCCACCTACAAAAATAAAAGTATCTGGATTAGGGCTCATGCTTGGCCTAGAGAACCTCCTTGAGTAGAGATGGAGCCATTACAGGAAGTGTGGCTGTCACCATGAAAAGATCCAATTGTTTATAATTATTATGGAAGCAAAAAAAGAAAAAGGAAAAAATCTTTTGGTGACCAAATAGACTATAAACTGACCCATTTTATGCAGTAACTTCTAACATATGCAATCTATAAACAAAAATAAGAAATGTAGTTCCTTAAACTCAGAATAATGCAGAATTAGTGGGTAATAATCCTTGTCCAAATCAAACTGACATGCCAGGATCCGGGTTCTGACAATGCAGTACAGAAACTGGCTACTTCCATTGTTAAGGAAACAGATGCAACAATCAAAAAACGTTTGAGGAAGTTTTTGGGAGAAGAAACTCATTCTGAGGTAAAGTTGTAAGGGTGATTCTGTTCTAATTATAGAACGCCACATAGAAGAGCTAGTAGAACACCCAAATGATTGTTTTCACATAATATGAACTAAAATAGGGGTGGAAAATTAGTGGTTCAACATCTGCAAGAACTCCAGCATGGTTTAGCATATTGTATAAATCAGACAAAGTTACATCATGTATGTTTCATTTATTTGGCTACAGTATGCTATATGAACAGAGATCTGTCTTTCAGTCTGTTGTGTTACATAAATCCAGGCAATGTATCAGAATATATTTATATGGAATTCCATCATAGATCATTGCAGAATTCTATGGCTTACTAAACAAAATAGGGTAGGACAAGGTAAGGTAAGATAGAATAGGATACCCAAATACCCAGAAAACAAGCTTTATTATCTGCTGAATAATTCAAAGGAGGAATTTTCCAAGGACCAAACCTTAATGTTTCATATCAGCTTTCAAATCACTTACACATCTGACAGCTTGAATTCCACTTCTAGAAATTCATAACGATAAGGTTGTTCTTGTTTCTGGTAACAGAAAAACATTTATAAAATGCACAGTAACGAAGACAACATTAATATATGCAGTCCACCAAATGGGAGAAGAGAAGAGAATAGAGGAGAGCAGAGGGGAAGGGAAGGGAAGGGAAATTGAGATGTTATGTGATTGGAACCATAATCCCCTTTATAAGGACACTCCTTTTCTGTGCTTTCCTTCCACAAAACCCATGAAACATACCATTTAATAAACTTGGGAAAAGAAAATCCATTAGGGTTAAGGAATAAATGTAACCTACATTATCTGCAAAATAGAGTATTTAGCCCTCACCTTTGGTTTTAAGGAGAATGTCTCAAGGACTGGATTTCCAGGCTGGAGTTTTGACAAATCAAAAAGAACAATCAATTGAATATCATGGTTGGTAACTGAATCAGCATCGCAAACTTCCAGCTGGATGATATTCTAGGAACAGAAGAAAAGAAATGGCAATTGCATATTCCTTTTTACTGATGACAATGTAGGTATTTCTATTGTAATATTTTCTTCCAAATTGATGGAATTTGACCAGGAAAACTGATTATACTCAGAGTAAGAAATCTAATTAGTCAATCTCATAAACTCTGTACATTTTCTAATTTATTTACTTATGTACAGTATCCATTTATTTACTGCTTTTATCTCCACACACACCCCTACACACACACACACAATCTGAATATTATTTTGGATAATCAATGGAGAAAGCAGTTAAAAATTCTACATATTCTCCACTATCATGTAAATCCAAGAGGCATTTGAAACTTCAGCAGACAACAATTCTAGTTCTTTAAAATTTGTAGAAAAGTACTATTTTTCATAATATCTTCTTTGTTCCCATTTCTATTTTATGGGGAAGGTTTATTTTTTAAGAGATTCTCATTTCTCTCCACAACTCTTGATACCATCTGTTATGGCAAATCCCTGTCTGCAGATGAGTGATAATTACCTTTTTTTCCTATTCGGAAACTTTGCTCTCAAAATAAAAGGCTGTCATTTTTACCCCAAGCCTTTGGGAAAGTACAAGATCCTATCTCCATAATATTGCTCCAGTTTATGGTGTCTCAATTTATTGCTCAAAATTATGGACCCTTCAGATAAAGGAGATAGAGAAGGAAGAACAGGAGCCAGATTAATAATTATGGTCATTTGGCAATTCCAGGAAGATAGTACTGAGGGATTAGCAAACCTTCTTCCACTCTGCTTCAATAGCCAGCCCTGAATTCTCATCTCAACCCAAAATCATGGTCTCTACCAGAGGTGGGTTGCTAATTTTTTTACTACCAGTTTGGGCGCGCTCCCAAGCGAGCTCGCACACAACATTTCTGTGCATGCACAGAAGTGTCCGGGTGGGTGGTCAGAGCCTCTCGCCGCTGCTACTACCGGTTTGGCCAAACCAGGCCAAACCGGTAGCAACCCACCTCTGGTCTCTACCCTATGACAATAGCAATGCTTTTGTATCAAGAACCAAGGGAGCCAAGAGAGTTATGTTCAGTTCTTTGAAAGAGCACCTTGAACATCATGTTCCACTAACAAATAAAAGTTTATTTTTATTATTCCCAAGCATTTCAGTTACTGCAATCAACACCAATCAAGTCTAGCTATACTTACTCAGACTTAGGGAAATTGTGAAAATTGTGACTTTTGCCTAGAGCTCATGACATCTTGATGTATTGTTAATACTGAATGTTTTGTCTTGATCTTAAATTGGAACCTCTCCCCACTCTTTAAGTCAGCTATTTAGTCATGTCCCTGATTCTCTGTAGGGCCAAATTAATAATGATATCCAGCCCTCTCTAACCCTATCCCAGTTTAGATGAGAATCCCCAAGACCAAGGCATAGAGCTAGCATTAAGATGTTGAAAATGATGCTTATGTGCTGTAAATAATTCCTCCAATGCTAGTGTAAATATACAGCCAATTTACAGGTAAAGTGGTAAATTCACCTAAAAACCTAACCATACGTTTTTTTTCTGGGATATCATATTAGGAAAAAAATCCCCATGAAAAAAACTGTCTATTAAGTAAGTTCCCAGAAATTATTAGCACTCTTTTCTTTCACAACAGATGTCACTGGCATTTTAAAACCCTCACATTAAATATGTGTAATGGAATATGTTTCACTACTGGCAACCTCAGGATATTCGTTTCCAATCTTGGCAATGGATTAGCGGTAATCTCTGAACAAAGAGCATTAGCTATCTGATCTCTGCTGCGCCTACACACAAAACTTCTGATAAATACTTTCAGGCATACAAGCATCTCCAAATGATAGAAAACAAAAGTTTCAATGGTTTCTTTTCCTTCTCAAAGTATCAAATCATGACTTTTACAGTCTCCTTTAAGAAAGTCAGTTCTGCAACAGCATTTTATGGATTTGTTTATCCTGTAAGCTTGTCAAATAGTATGAATGCTTTGCAACCACATTATACTACCTTGATTTTAGTTTGGATCCTGAAATAAAATGTTTCATTCCAGACGGGGTAGTAAGAATTCCTGACAGCCTGGGTTTTGAATATCTCCTGTGATGCTGTTGGCAGGTGCAAAGTCACGTAGCAATGAGATGTGGAAACTACAGCAGGAAAAAGAAGAAATTGGTGGGAGGGGGGTCAAATAATCAGTGCATCTTAATAAACAAAAGAAATATAATGGCTAAATTCCTATGGGTTAAGAGTACCACCTACTTCTAAATATATCTACATTCTATTTGTTATATATTAATCTATACATTAGTAGCCATTAAACAGTAATTGAATTAGTCCTTAACAGTAATGTCATTAGTCTTTAAACAGTAATTTAAAACTTTGAGAGGGACTTTGGAGTCCTAGTGGATGATCACTTAAACATGAGTCAGCAGTGTGCAGCAGCAGCCAAAAAAGCTAATACAATCCTTAGTTGTATAAACAGAGGCATAGAATCAAAATCACGTAAAGTATTAGTACCACTTTATAAAGCCTTTGTAAAATCACACTTGGAGTACTGCATCCAGTTTTGGTCACCACTTTAACAAAAAAAATTATGAGACTTTGGAAAAAGTGTGAAGATGATTAAAGGCCTGGAGACTAAAACATATGAAGAACAGTTATGGGATTTGGGTTTGGATAATATAGAGAAAAGAATGACTAGTTGGGGGGGGGGCATGATAGCAGTATTCCAGTATTTGAGAGGCTGCCACAAAGAAAAGGGAGTCAAGCTATTCTCCAAAGCACCGGAGGGTAGAACAAGAAGCAATGGATGAAAACTAATCAAGGAGAGAAGCAACCTGGAATCAAGGAGAAACTTCCTAACAGTGAGGACAATTAACCAATGGAATAGCTTGCCTCCAGAAGTTGTGAGTGTTTCATCACTGAAGGTTTTTAAGAAGAGACTGGACAGTCATTTATCTGGTATATGGTCTCCTGCTTCAGCAGGGGGCTGGACTAGAAGACCTCCAAAGTCCCTTCCAGCTGTATTCTGATTTTGAAATACATACTACCAAGAATCAAAGTGATTGTGGCAGACTAAAAATGCAATAAATAAACAAATTAAGTGATTTAAAGATTTTTCAGCAATTTAGATTCTGAGAAACTCTTATTAAGTTTTTTGGAAACAATTTTGTGAGGTGGAAATGAGATTCAACTTAATGAGATAAAACATCAAAAAAGAGTAGGAACAGTGCAAATTGGGTAGAAGACTGATTCTCTTCATAGAAAAAGTGTAATAAGAAAGCATGTCCTGGTTTGGGTTCCGGAAGACACTATTTGAAGATTCACTGCAGGAAATGGAATTTGAAAACCAAAAACTCATAGACGTGCTTTGGGGTTGGAGACAGAGAGGTGTGCTAATAGGCCATTGAAACCTAGATACTAGTTGTAGAGAATCAGTGGGAAAAAACAGGAATAAAAGCAAGAGATGCTGTTGAAAAAAAAAATATTCCATATAAGCTGTAAACAATCAAATTTATTATATTTTGTTTTGCCCTAAATCACAAAATAATCTCTAAAATTCTGAACTCGGTTTTTCTAAATGTATGTTTCTTTGAGATCAACGCAATTAAGTAATTCAACTATATTTTTCAACCATAACATGCCAGGAACTTACATGGCGTATAAGAACTGATGATACTGGCTTTCAGAATCTTGACTGACAGCAGGGATAGTGGAAATAGATGGTTCTGCAATGGAAAAAAAGCCAACAATGAGGACCTGAGTCTATTATATTATTATTATATCATATCATATCATCATGTCATGTCATATCATATATCATACCATACCATACCATACCATATCATATTATATTATATTATTATCATATTATATCATATTATTATATTATTACCATATTATATCATATTATTACCATATTGTATTATATTATTATCATATTATATCATATATTATCAGATCATATCATATTATATCATATTATATTATTATCATATTATATTATATTATATCCACTTATGATATTTCCCTGCAATGCACAGCTATAAAAGATCCTTAGATGCTGCTTTGGAGTTCTGGTGCAGTGCAGAAGGGAAGGGCCATCCTGGTTTAGTATCCCTAAAACTCATGAAATGCATACTTTCCTTGTTCTTTTAATTTTCAGGTGTTTTCTAGTTTACTTCCTGATCATCACCATACTGCAGACTATGGTTGCTATATTGAATATTCAGATTTTATTATCTTCAGTAGTTAAATTATTATACTTTCCAAATTCAGCTTACTTTCCTTATGAGAAGTCCTTGCAAACAAACATGAAAAGGGCCACGATTATACAATAATCTCTGTGTTACGACCCTTCTCTTAGATTTGTTGATGGACATTATGTGATGCTTAATTCCTATATGTTTTTATTTTTATGTTATGTAATTTATGTGTTCATGTGAAAGGGCTTTATATTAAGCTCTGTAAAAGTGGCAAGCTCAGGAAACATGCAGCACTGGGATTTCTGGAAAAATCTATATTGCTGATAGAATAATTGGTAGAATTTTGAAATCTAACCATGGTAATTAATTTTTCTGCAGAGTTACTTTGAGTATTGCAGAGATTAACATCAAGATTAATATTAGACAAACAATCAAAAAGTAAATGATAATCAAGGAACTACCAACCCAGAAAACAAGCTAACAGTAAACAACAGCCTAATCAGGAAATCACCAAGAACACCAATACTGACAGGGCAACTCACTAATATATAAAAATAAGAGCACATACCACCCCCTTCTAGTACTGATGATGTTACCTAGTTTAGTAATGAAATGTCTGCAAGAAAAACCACCAAGCTCAGAGAGCACCAAGGACACAACAGTTCAATTCTGAGTTACAAATATTCTATCTATCACTTTCCATTCTTGTTGATGAGTTCCTTGTCATGCGTATTTTCATGTGTACCATTTTCTGTGTATATACACACACAAAATGAAATTGTATATATACCATTAAAGTATCAAAATGCACATAAAAGGAGATACAATAAAAGCTTCTCTTTTAAAAATGGTTTCTTAATGCTGTACTTCTATCTAAGGATGTCTTCATCCAGTTATAACTTTTGCCTTATAAGTCAAAGTGTGTTGTATTCAAAACCTTACAGAATTTTTATTCTTTTCTTTCCAAGCTTCCTGCTTGTCTCTGTCCTTTATGCTTTCTTTCATGATGCTTTTAAAAAAGAAAGTCATACTTCGTGCTTGCATATAAGGATTCCCATGTTTAGCATTTTGTAATACAGCCATTTTATTATCTTTCATCATTTTTATTATAGTAGAAATAAATGAGAAGTTATAGACATTGAGATCATAAAACAAGAAGTGCCGCATTTACCCTGCACATAGAAATTCCAGCACTTGTTATGCATTCAATTAAAGCCTAAAAATATAGTTGCTCCATCTTTTAATGTGCACACCATTAATTATTTCCCTTCAAAGCTGCCTATAGAATTGTAGATCCAGTTCCTGTTATATAATCGACTGGTTTCAAACAACATGAAATTATACAACTAGCCAGACAAGTTCATTTTTTCCCAGCCGAAGCTGCCTTATTTTTAGCATCAAAATTATAGACCTTTTAATTGATCAGCAGTTTCTTAGCAAATTTGGTAGCCTAGGTGAACCTGTATGCATCTCACAGTCAGAGAAATATACTTGTACACCCATCTGCACCCAACTTCCAGAGTCTTGGTTCTTGGTCTGTGCCCTAAGGCCTTCTTCCTCCCTTCCGACTTTTCATAGATTTACTCAAACCCTGACATCACCTTCTTTGACTGCGGCACAGAAATCTGCATCTTCCCAAGAAATACAACACGTGGGTGAGGGAGAGTCAAAGTAGCATTTCCAGATCTGGTTTCATCAACTTGCTGTATGAAATTGCTGAATTGCACCTTCTTTACATATATAATTGCAGTTATATAATTAATTAAACATTGTTTCAAAGGAGCTTTACAGTAGCAAAGGTGCACAGTTCACTTTTCATCCTGTCTTGTCTAAATATTAATACTTATTAATATTAATACCCTGCTAAGGAAAATAATTAAGGAATCTCCTACTGTTGCAGAGACATGTATCCATTAACTTCTTGTATTAACTTCTTGTATAATCCTTGTACTAATTTTCCTCAGTTCTCTGGCTAGTAGCCGGTCTTTTCTCCTCCCAAAAAACATCCATCCCAAAAACCCATTCAAGATAAATTAGCTCATCTCTTTGTAGATGTTTCATTACTGATTAGGAATATTATGTTACCTGGTCAGGTAATGAAACATCTCAAAGGAAGCAACCAAGCTCAAAGGACATCACAGACTCCATACAGCAGATTTCCAGATATCCTGACTCTCCTAAGGAGTCCCTGTCTTATCAATATAAAAGCAACAGTGACTGGAGAACATTGTGTTTAAAAAAAAACATTAGTCTAATTAGTACATTTAGTTAATTGCATATAAAGCATGCAATACACAGAGTCAAATGGATATAAAAATGTATATTGGGAAATCATATATCCAGGATCTATAGAACTATGGTACTTGAAAGACTGGAAACTGTGGATTTTTTGCTGAAAAGAAAAGAAGCCCGATTATGATTATGTTTAGGACTAAAAGGGGTTAAAGAAGAAGAGGAAGGAGTGAGAGACTGCAACTACTGGATAGAAAGAGGGACAGAAGTCATAATTAGCATGTTCTTCCACTTTTTACTTCTTTTCTTTATTTAAATTCTCTTATTTTTTTCTTTTTTATGGTTTTATTTCATTAAAAAAACTCTTAAGAAAAAATAAAGAAAAAGAGAAAGTCAAGTTGATTGGTGAACTGAATAAAGGGAACTAAGTTTTTCTTTGCATGCAGAAAGGTGTGCCCCTTCATCCTTAAATGACAAACTTTGAAATGCAGCAAGCACCAACTTCCTTTGATGCTACCTTTGATGGTTTTGAATGATACAGGCAGCCGCCAAGAAATCAACAGTACAATCTCACAAAACGTTAGCTACATCTTATAATTTTTTTTAAAAATAATACCTAATTTGTTCCAACATTTCATTGTTGATGGTTTCAAAGACTTCTAGATTTCTTTTAAACAACAACCCACAACAAAAAACAAACAAGCAAACAAGCAGGACTAATAATCAGTATGAAACCAAAGCCACGGAAGCAAGGTTAATGAATTAATGTGCAATTTAATGTGCTGAAATCCAAATGAACAGCCAGATTTTCTCCCCAAACCTGCTACTTAAGAGTGAGATGTTGAAAGGCAATTCGCATTCTCCCAGCTACTGGTTGTTGTTGTTGTTACTTTTTTACCGGCACATGTGGCAATTTTTGACACCTTCTTGAATCACTTTTCTGTTCCTATCCTTTTAAAATAATACATCAACAACAAGGAGTTGATTGACATTCTTAAGAAGTTTGCTTTGTCCATAAAATGAATTTTTAGCCATTCCTTTCATTGCTCAACCAATTTTATAATGTTCAAACCCACCCAATAATCAATTAGTATCTTCTTCTTCCTGTAGAGCAGTGGCTCCTAACCTTATTTTGGCCATGCCCCACCTAAGCATCTTTAAAATCCTGACAACCCCCGCCCCCTCCTGTGACATATAATTCTTACTTTACTCAAAAAGGGAACTCCACTCACGTGGAGGAAGCCTAAAAGGCCATTAACTTGGTTTAAACAAAGTTCAAATTGCCCCAATTAAAAATCAAATTGCCCCCTATGGGGCATGGGCCCCACGTTGGGAGCCACTGCTGTAGAGAGAGAACACAACCGTTTATCAAAACACCCAGAAACTATTCAAAGTTTGAAATAGGGCCAACATTTTATCATTTCAGAAAATTCAGATTGTCTGAACGTTTAGAGGGAATGTACCCAGTTGTTAAGATTTCTCAGCAGAGCTTCCTCAAAAAAATAGAAAAAGCAATAGCATTCTCTTCCTTACCTTCTCTTCTGTGGTCTCCATTCTTGTCAAATCGTCTTTTCATACACTCTAGAAACAGTTGAGCAGTTAGTTGGCAGACAGACAACGCTCAAATCTGTTGTTGCTCTTCCCTGGCACATCCCAAAAGACAAGAATCATATATGCATGTTGCTGACTCCGCCCAACGTGATTTCTGGATAAGAAAACAAGAAAGGACTGTGCATTTTTTCTAGCCCAAGAAATAACTGCAGAGTCAAACTTTACCACCATAATCCTAGATGAAGTAACCAATCATTATCTGTCCTGAATCCTAAAGCAATGCATTCATTGCAGTACAAACAGTTCCTGATTTTTCTCTCCTTCTCTCCTTATTACACACACAAACAGTAGCTATTTTCTTCTTATAATTACCCATTTTTCAGGTATGATGTGGTAGACCCAGGGTCCCCAACCCCTAGGTCATAGCCCCCTGCCAGGCCATGGCCTATTCACAACCGGGCCACCTGAGTGGCAGGCTGGCGCGCGCACATATGACTCAGCTTGACTTGCACAAGTTGTGCTGCTGTGCCTGCTAATCATGCAAGTCAAGCTCCATGTGCATGTGCACGCCGGCCTGTCACTCATATGATTGCTTCCCCTCTCCCCCCCCCTTTTCAGGCTACCAAGCTACAAAGGCGGAGACTGCTAGAGTAGACCAGAGCCTGGAACTGTTAATAATATCATGATCTATGGTGAGGAAAGTAACAAGTCTCCAGGACAGAATGAAATTATAAACTGGCAATAAACAGGTGATACATAGAGAGTAAAAACGTGATCACCAGATGATGGGAGAAATAACTTGGTTGGTTGGTTGGTTGGTTGGTTGGTTGGTTGGTTGGTTGGTTGGTTATGTGTCATCAAGCCAGTGTTGCCTCTTAACAACCCTATACAAACAGATAAACTTTCTCCTAGATGATACGTCCCCGGCCAGTCCTTTGGGTTTTCTAATGTACACCTATCACCATTATAATGAACTCCATCCCTCATGTTGCTGGTCATTGTCTTGAGTTACAAAACGGTCGCTAAAAGTAGTGTAGATAGGAGGCATGAATATAGTCATTCTCTATACTGCTTCAATATGGTTACATCTCTTCCTGGGATCTTGGGTCGTGGGTAGCTGCATTATCCTAGGAATCAGCCTCTAGCAGCTGCCACAGAAGTAAGAAGATCTGGCCGGGTGCACAGGCGGCCTGCATACTTGCAGGATTACGCATGAGCCAGGCTGGCGGAAAAGAGTGTTATATCCACCCCCCGAGGATGTGGCCACGCACGCTCCAGCCAAGTGGGAGTGGCGCTGGCCAGCACGGGACATTAGGCGGCCATTGATTGGCTGCCCCCCTTGACAGCATGGATATAAATAGCTATAAAGCAGGGAACTGTTGTTTTCCCTTGGTTCTGAAGTTGTTCAGTTGCTAATAAATGGTTGGTTTAAACCGCTGCCTCGCCTCAGTCATTACCCCCTCTGAGTATTTAATAATTACATTGTTGAATTTAAATATTTCTCTATACCTACCTTATTGTCTGAAGCTGTCCTAACACAATAAAATAGATTTGATGTGGGGTTTAAAATAGCAATGTGGCACTACCACATCCAATGTGGCATAAACCATCTAGCACACAAATTGATGTGCCTCATAACAAGATGTTCTTGAAATTATTAATAATACTATTTCACTTGTTGAAATTAGGGACAAAACAACGTTTACAATTTGTTCCTTGTGTCCCTTCCGGTTTTTCTTTTCTGCCTGAGAGAACATTTTTGTTCAAACCATCACACTTTTCCTGGGGAGCCCCCACCCACCCATAAAACATCTCTCCTTTTCTTTGTCTGGGATCTTTCTGGTTACATTTCTCTTTGCTATACAACCATAACATACAAAGCATGGTGCCAGCCTCCCATTTCATATTCAGTTCATTCTGCATATATTGTGACTCTTCAACAAAGAAGATGAGAACCAAAAGCTATATTAAGGAAAAGAAAAGTTAGAAAACAGAGAGAAGAGAGAGAGAAGAAGCCAAATGACAAAAAGAGAAGCTATGAATTTTTACAACTAAACTGAAATTTCACGAAGAGCCGCCCAAGCAAGTTGGGAAACTCGGTCAGGAACATTCCTGAACGGTGCCCTTACATGACTATTGACACATGCTTCGTTCTCTGCATTTTTCATGGTGTAAATATCTCAACTAGCTAGCTAGAAACCACAGAGGCTCCATGGATGACAGCAG